GGCACACCCCAAATTAGCGGTGCCGACAGCCACAACGACAGCGGGTGGAGGGGAGAAAGGGAGAGGTTTCTCGCTGCTACCCCAGCAAATTGCAATTCTCTATATTGGGGTTAAAAGCAGAAAAGTTTAGTGCAACCCAGGCACTGGGTCATGGGATTTTTTTGGGTGCATGACAGGGTTTTCTAGATACCGAGGGGTGCCTGCGCTCGCCCGGGCTGGCCTGGGGTGTTGCTGGCATGGCTGGCTGCGCTGGCTACCGTGAGTGTCCTACCGTGAGCAACGCTTGAAGCTCTTATCTTTTTATTTATGGCTCTGCTGGCCTTGACTGAAGTATTTCAGGGAATGGATGGAGGGGAAGCAAACAGCCTTGCTCAGGGCGTTCAGCAGCGCAGCCTCAGCAAAGCTTAAAAAAAAAAATAATAAACTAATAAGGGAGATGTTGAAAATGGAGAGGGGGAGGCTGCAGCCCCGAGCCCAACGAGATTTAAGTCTGTGGCTAATCGCATGCCAGGGATAATCCCGTGAATCAGCAGATATGTCAGGGCTGGGTCTGGTGTGAGGTTAAGCCGTGGGGTTTTTGGGGGGTGCCGGAGGAGGAGAGGATGTGAAAGCAGCCCCGTGTCCAGGCACCCAGCTGTGGCAGTGCCTTTGGGCTCCTTTTCTTCCTCTTTTGCAGGTCAAAACCCTGGGGGGGGTCAGGAGCCTGGAGCAGCCCTCCCCAACCCCAGCCCCTGACAGCTCCTGTCCATCTCCTTCGTTTCCTCTTTTGGCAGAGCAGAACTGGGCTGGACCCGGTAATTAGCAATTAGCTTTGTGCTGCGTTAACCTCACACGGCGGCGGCAGAGCAAGGGTGAAGCTGTTGGATGGATTTCCCAGCTTGGGGGCTGCGATCCAAGGGCTGGGAAATGCCCAGGCAGCCAGGAAAAAAAGCAAAACTGCGTGTAATCTTTCCTTCTGGACTTGCATCGGGCTTTATTTGGGGCACAAAGCTGCAGGATGAAGTGGCCGGAGCCCCCAGGAAGGGGTAGGACTGGTTGGGTTTTGCCGGAGTGGGCATCACTGTTTTCCCCCAGGGTTGCTCTAAACCATGAGCTGATTTTTGGCAAACCAAGGTTGGGTTTGAACCAGGCTGGAGAATGTGATATAAACAAAAATTTAAGAAGTTACAAAGTAAAACAAACATGAAGAACAGAAACACAAAAATAGAAACTTTATAGTAGAAGCAGTTATATTTGAGGTCTCCCTGCTGTGGTAGCCATGTCTCCTTGGGTCTGTGTGTTTGCAGTATAATGGGCTTGGTAGCGTGAGATGAAACTAGAAGATAGTGGGGTCCTAACAAGCTGAACTCAGTACCAACTTAGCCTATAATTGAGTTTGGAAACTTCATCATGGCTTCATCAATTCTTCTTCATGGTTTGAGCAGAAAAAGTGGGTGAGCAAATCCATAGAAAGGAGAAGCCACCAGGAGGTCTCATGGGCGCACCATCTCCTGCTTGGAGAAGCAGTTGGCCCACAAATGGCGAGGGCTGGTGGGGAAGAGCTGTTTCCTCTGTGGATGGCTGCATCTTGGTGTCTAAACGTCCTCAGCCCTGGCATTACCTGTTCTGGTTTGCATGAGGCTTGACTTGAGTAGCTCATCTCCAGGCCTGCCTTGTGTTGAGGGGTGCCGGCTCCACCACAGAGGTGATATCGAGTGTTCTTCTGAAACCAGGCCAGTGAGGTGAAGGACACGGAGAGGACATTTGGGCTTTCCCACCCCAGGGTGCTGAGCACTCTTGTGCCCTTCCTGTCCTGGTGAAGGGCTTGCCTCCTGCTCTGCAGCACCTGCACACCGTCGCTGCATCTCTCTGACACTTCCATGAGACCTTGTGGCCTGGCTAAGGGTGTTTCATTTCCAAGGTCTGGTCTGCCCTGAAGGTGGACCTCCAAACACCACATGCACCATAGAATCATAGGATGGTAAGGGTTGGAAGGGACCTTAAAGATCATCTTGTTCCAACCCCCCTGCCATGAGCAGGGACACCTTCCACCAGAC